AGCAGGGCGTGTATTTTAGGGTACCCAGCTAGACACATTGATTCACGAATCACCGGGTAATCCGGTATTGCTTGTCTATAGTGTAGCACCGTAGTAAGAACTGGAAGATAAAAGATGGTGAATGGATCTGTTTACTCAACTCTTGCTTGAAAATAGAACAGGTGCTTACCTAGAATGATTAGATAATGAACTAATCATGACTGCTAATAAGAATCATACATAAGGATTCACTACTAGTATTGCTTTCTGCAAAAAGGAAACCCAGCAAACCATAAATCTTACCAAATTTCTTTGGAGTCGGGAAATTATTCCCACTAGTTGGGTAAGTCTTGTGAGTACATTGTGTACTCATGATTTATTTACCCCTGTTGTAGGTGCAGCTTGAAGAGTAGTTGTTGTGTGGAGGATTCTTCTGGTGGGCACAGATGAATCTTTGTATTCTATCGTTACATGTTTATTTTAATTCCGTTGTTTAAGTTCCTCACTCTAAACTTAGTATTGTAATAATGTATTTCTAAGAACTCTTGTTATATGAAATGGACTAAGCATTGTAAACTCGTTCTTATTATTGGATCCTGGAGGAAAAATATGGATTGTTCGAGTTCTTCCATGGGGTGTGCTCGACGGACTGCTTGAAGTATCTCGCTTTCAAGTGCTTAGTGTCTGATGGAAGATGAGCGCCTCCATAAGGGTGCTATTTCAGGCGGTTCTGCCATAAAGAGTTGATCAAGGGGAGCATGGTAGCACAAGAAATTAACCTAGAGGAGAAGCGGGTACATGTGCCTACTCTGATGGTTCATGAGCCATTCTTCACGCTACCTGTTGTTGCTGCACCAACAGTGCAAGACACTGTAGCAACAACACCTGTTGTTAGTTCTCCTATGGCGACAATGAATGAACATGAGGAACATGTCCTTCAGGATCCCGTTGAACCCGTTGTCACACATGAGGAAGAGCAACAACAGCCTTATATAGAACAAGCGTCAACTAACGAGACCCCTAGAAGGTCTCAAAGAGTCAGGAAACCAGCCATTCCTGATGACTACGAAGTCTATGAATGTGAAGAATTTCAAATGGAGGGTGATCCCACCTCATTTGAAGAAGCCATGAGAAACGCTCACTCATCAAAGTGGCTTGAAGCCATGCAAGATGAAATAAGATCAATGAATACCAACGGTGTTTAGGACTTAGAAACAATTCCTAAAGGAGCCAAAACAGTAGGCTGTAAATGGGTATACAAAACTAAATATGACTCCAAAGAGAATGTAGAAAGATTTAAAGTGCGACTTGTGGCGAAAGGCTTCACGCAAAGAGAAAGCATAGATTACAATAAGACATTTTCTGCAGTCTCATATAAGGATTCTTTTAGAATTATAATGGTGCTTGTAGCACATTACGATTTAGAATTACATCAGATGGATGTAAAGACAGCATTCCTAAACGGGGATTTAGAGAAAAATATTTACATGGCACAACCAAAAAGTTTTGTTGTGGAAGAAAAAGAATGTATGGGATGCCGCCTGAAGAAATTCATTTATGGATTAAAACAAGCATCAAGACAGTGGTATTTAAAGTTTGATAGTACAATAAGGAAGTTTGGGTTTCAAGAAAATGTAGAGGACAATTGTATTTATACAAAGTTCAAGAATGAGAAATATATTTTGCTAATCTTGTATGTGGATGACATTTTACTCGTTAGTAGTGATGTTAATCTACTACTTGAAACGAAGAAGTTCTTGTTCTCGAATTTTGATATGAAGGATCTCGGTGAAGCTTCGTTCGTTCTAGGAATAGAGATTCACCGAGATAGAAGAAAGGGGGTTTTAGGATTATCACAAAAGACATACTTATAAAAGGTTCTAAAGAAATACAGAATGCAAAATTGTAAGCCTTCACCTGCTCCCATAGTCAAGGGCGATAGAATTGGGGAATTCTAATGTCCTAGGAACCAATATGAGATCGATCAAATGAAAGCGGTTCCATATGCTTCAGCTGTCGAAAGTTTACAGTATGCTCAAGTGTGTACACGCCCTGACTTAGCGTTTGTTACCGGGTTACTTGGCAGATATCAGAATAATCCAGGAATAGAACACTAGAGACTGGCAAAGAAAGTTTTGCGTTACTTGCAAGGCACAAAAGACCTCATGCTAACGTACAGAAGATCTGATTCTCTACTATGTATATCGAGTTTGTAGCGTGTTATGAGGCCACGGGGCAGGTAAATTGGCTGAAGAAATTTATGCCCGGGTTGAAAGTGGTAGACGACATACATAAGCAACTCAAGTTGTACTACGACAATAATCTAGCAGTACGTTATGCTCACAACAATAAATCAAATGGTGCTGCCAAACACATTGACATAAAGAATTATGTTGTGAAAGACAAAGTCCGGGATAGTCTTGAGCACATAAGTACAGAAAAGATGTTCGCGGATCCACTTACAAAAGGCTTACCACCCAACGTGTTCAGAGAACACTTAGCCAGCATGGGGTTTAAGGGAAAGTCTATGATTCCTGGACAATAAGGGCCTAGTTGAGAATCTGTTTTAAAACAGAGAGGTGTGTTGTAGCTGTTAATCCAATGGTACTAAATGTTGTAACGAGGCACGCTCTATGCGCTAATCTGTGATGGAATGGGAAAAAGAGAAAATGATTTTAAGTTTGAGTCATAAGGTGAGATCACGGGGGGGAATGTTAGGTTGATCTCCTCTCGGCTCGGTCTAATGACCGAGTCGGGGCCTTGATCCACGCCCTGATCGGGGACGCCCAACCGTTCCATGGTTGGTGGGCCTCCGTCGCGCAGCGCAATATAAATGAGGTGGAAGACCGGGGCTCGCGTCACAAGGTTCACCTGAGCCGCCTTTCTCCCACCTACAGTACTAACCCTAATCCGATCTAAGAGGGAGGCGCTGAAGCGACGGGAAGCTCCACTGACGTCTTCACGGCCGCCTCTGCGCCACCACTACACTGCGACCTACCTCAACGCCGTGACCGCGACCCCGCCGACCCGGACTGCATCACCTTCGCCATGGCTACGTCGAGCTCTTCCTCCAAGCCCACGGATGATCGGTAACATCTCATCTTCTTCCTCTCTCTCTCTCTATAGATCATGTTCTAGGAAGTTTTCACCCCGTACGTAAGGTTATACCCGCTAGATCTATGTCTAAGTGATCCACTAAGTCTATCATGAACAAGGGGTGGAGTAGGTGTTTAATTTTGCTTGTATGCCTGCGTTCTGTTGAGTAAAGCCTAGAAATGACAAAACGATGTCTCTGCCACTGGAACTGTGTTGCCACTTCCTAGTCTTCATTCATCTCTTGCTTATCCATTGCATAATATTTTTATTCCAACAGTTGTACAGACGGTAGAGTGATGCATTATGCATGCGATAGTCATGTTTACCAGAAAAGGTATAGCGTGTAGTATAGTGATTCTGTTCACAACACGGCAGTCATGTTTCCCAGAAAAGATCAATCTGTTCTTTGTGTTAACCATAGTTGAAATGTGTTGGAACGAAGACTATTCCTTTGCCTAACAAACTTTAGTTCAAAATATGCTTGCTGCGATCGCTTTCAACTTTTTCCCCTTACAGAGGAATAATTATGGTGTTCTATGCAGTTTGATGCACTTGTTGCGGCATTGCCACTATCATCAGAAGAGGATCAAGTGAAAAGAATCCAAGAGCTACAGGTAGATATCTGACAGTTAGATTAATTTATGAAGCACTGTTTTTTCAAGGATGGGCATCTGTCAAACTCCTAATGTAAATTGTATAAAAATTTGAAATTTGCAGGCAGAGAATGAAGTCGTGGGATTGGAGCTCCAGAAGCAACTTGAAGCTGCTGGTAACATGATCCCACTGTTTAGAGTTCTTAGTATTATATGGCTAATTACTGATATGGTGCACCTCATTGCGTTACAGAAAGGGAGTTGAAGCAGGTTGAGGTGCTGTTCAATGAAGCAACGGACAATTGTATAAATTTTAAGAAGCTAGATTAATCATGTTAATGTAAGTTTAGGTGAATTTCTTCCAAAACTTCATAGTGCACTATCAGTGTTAATTTTATTTTTATTTGGCTCCAACAGTTACTGCTTTGTTTGGCATATATATTGACAACATTACAAGTGTTGGAAACCGATCTAGCTCATACGATAAGATGGTTTGTAGGTGTATGTATTACATAAATAACTTGAGCATGTGCTATATGCTGATCTTAACTTCAATTTTTCCATGAGGCACCGTTTGTGTTGACGAAAATCCAATGTCTACCATAACAGGTTTGATGAAAGGAAATTATTCTCATGAATGGATGAGTGTGGAGAATGAATGCCAGTAGAAACTTCATTCTATCTTTTCAAATTCTCTACTTGTTAACTCTGTAAACATTAATTTCAATTCTGTCTCATAGCTTTTGTGTACTGATGTTCTGAAAAGGACCTGCTGGATTAGGATTAACCTTTGTTGTAAGGTACAATGTTTTCCAGTATCAGCTTGGTTTCATTTCACGCCAGAATAGTGCTTTAGTCTTGTTTGTTTAATGGATCTGCTACCTGCCTTTATTTGGGATTTCTTATATAGTTTAGTTTCGAAGTCCCTGACACCTGTTCCTAACCTCCCTTCCAGCCCATCCCATGGAAGAATAGAATTGTAACGTGAAATAAAAAGCATATAATTCTTTAAAGATTACTCAAACATAAAAGGCCAGTAACGATAATACTAGCAGCTCTTGATTGGAATTCTTTAGACATAAATGTTAAATCTTGACTTGGAATTCTAGCAGCTATTGATTTCTATTCTTTAAAGATTACTCAAGCATATAATTCTCTAGACATAAATGCTAAATCTTGATTGGAATTCTAGCAGCTCTGATTCTGTAAGGTAAGGATACTTCTTGCTCACATAATGGACATAAATAACAAACAAAAACAATCATCCCTACAATCTTATTCAGATCCATCATTCAGCGTCACGGCAGTCCCTCTTCCTCCCATGCATCCATCTCAAGCATATTTGCAGGTGCCAAGACCTGCAAAAAGCAAGAACACCAGCCATGTCAGCCCCTCAACACAGTTGACAAGCAACGAGACACTCACAGTCACAGCAAGGCAGTCTACTCACTGGGGTCAGTGATGGTGATGAGGCCGGTGCCGTTGAAGAAGCAGTTCCACGAGTTCCTGCCCCGGGCCTGGTAGTAGGCGTTCATGGCCACCGACGCCCGCGACAGGAGGCCTTCGTCTGGCCGGGCGCAGCCGCCAGTGCCCTGGATGGCGCCACAGTCGCTCTCGGAGCAGGCGAACTCCAGGTTGCCCCGCAGCGCTGCCTCCTCCGCCGACAGCTTGGCCACGCACCATGTCTTGCTCCTATGGCGCAAGGTTTCTGCTGCTGCTGAAGATGGGGTTTGATTTCAGTGTCAGGTTAGTGAGACTATAAGCTGTGGGATTTGTCGATCCTGATGACTACAACTTGGCTGCCAGCCAAAATGAGAGATCCTGTACCGTGAGTGTGAAGCACCGATAGTGTGAGGGCAAAGAAGAAGGCGAGGAATCTGACGTTGCATGATGCCATTTCTTCAGGCTTCTGAAATCAGAGACTGCAAGAAGCCTGTCTTCTTGTGTGACTTTGTTGCAACAGCAAGAGATGGTCTTTTTTTTTTGGCAGAGAACATGAGTAAGGTTTGGTTGCGATCTGATCAATTTTATAGGGAGGAGGAAAAAGATGAACCGGAACAAGCAGCAGGAGCAGCAGCAGCACAAAGGGCGTGTGCAGCAGAAACGGTTGGTTTTAACGCGTTTTATGGCCACATTTACACTGGGGCTATAACGGAATTGCCACACATTTAGTATTCCATCATCAAAAGGATAATAATCAGTGACGTGAAGCTGAACAGCAGCAGTGTCCGAGACCATGTAACCAAATGTCTTTGTGTTACAGCCAAATGTTTACCTTCCATTTCCTTTTATTTATTTTTCCCATTGCAACACAACACGCCTATATGTAAATACGTACCTTGCTGAGCTTCCTCTAGTATATATACTTATTATTACAAACTAATAACATGACAAGAACGAAACAAATGGAATAACTTGCAAACTAAAACCTTTTGTCACAAATGAAACGTTGGTTCATGCAAATTAGAGACGAAGAGGACTTGATCTTGACTCGTTCCTTGCTTACACGTTTTGACATTCTGTACATTTTAACGTTGATGAGTAAGCTATGTTCTTGTTTTTTTCCGACATGGCCTCTGTTTTAGCATAACCATTTCATCCTGAATATAGCCTCAGCTTTGATCGTATCGGCTGTCGACAAATCGGGCATCTGGTGAGGCTCTCCCCACACTCCCTGCAGGTCTGTTGCTCGCATGCACAAAATGCACAAGGAAATTAGGATATAAATGAGGTTTTTCTTTTCCTTGGTTTCTATATGTGCAATTGCATTGCATTTTTTGTAATAAATAATAGAAAATAGAAGCTCTGAATCTGTCCTCACCATATGGCCACAGCCTAATGCTAGATCCTTGGCATTGGTCAGGCAGATTGGGCACACCTGCATGAGCACACATAGATTTGCAGCTAACTCAAGAAGAAATTTGAATTTGACAGCCCTGCATTTCCGGCTAGTTCATCTGACCTGATCATCTCTTGGCGCTGCGGCGGCGGCGCCGACATTGCTGGCTCCCCTCGTCAGCGACGACTGCCTCTGCGCGTGCGGCAGAGGCGGCGGCGCAGGGGACACTCTCTTAGCGTTCCCAGTGGATCGCCTGCGTTCAGTTTCAGGTTCAGGCACCACAAAAAGGTTGTATGTTCAGAAAGCTAGCTTCAGACTTATGAAGGCACATAGGGATGGAGGTCCATGATCGAGCGCATTCTGCAATGCATGCATTACCCCAGGATGCCGAGCTCCATGGTGGCCTTGTACTGGATGGGCACCTCCATGAGCGCGGCGAGCGCGAACGCCGACTCCTGCTGCTGCGCCGTGGCGGGCCGAGACACGATGGAGGTGAAGTTGACGAACTGTACGCATTCAGTGAGGGCACGGTGTCACGTGCTGTGTTCATCAGAAATCGATCTGAGCATGGTTCATCTTCAGAGCAGAGCTCGGATGTGGATGCCGGAGGTTCCGGAGCTAGCTAGCAGCTTGTGTTCACCTGGAAGTTGTCGAAGTCGCGCGCGGGGAGCTTGTCGTCGAACCTGCGCATGTCGTCCCAGGGCCCGTCCCCGACCCCAACCAGCACGATGGACAGCGGGTAGGAGCTTGCCATGACAATGGAGTCCACCGTTCTCTTCTCCTGCGGGCTGAGGTCGCCGTCACCGGTGTCGACACTCCTGGTCACCTGCCCGTCCGCGACGATGACGAGCACATGGTACTGCCCTCCGCTCCTGTCCACGATGTCCACGGCCGCCTCCACGATGGGCGCGAACGACGTCGGCCCCGAAAGCCTGAGGTGCGTCACGATCTTGCGGTAGCAGGCTAGGACCTCCTCGAAGCCGTGGCACGGCGAGTTGTCCGGGTGGAAGCTGAACACGTTGTAGTCATGGGTGGTGGCTGCAGATGCATGCAAGAAGATTGTTCATCGAGGAGAACAAAAGGACAGCGACACGAGAACGACGCCTCCATGGGCAGCGTGGAGCTCACCGTCGCCGAAGCCGAAGCAGGGGATGAGGTTGTCCTCGTCGAAGGGAGCCAGCGTCTTGCCGATGATGCTGATGGCCTGCTCGTAGGGGTTGGGCGTCGTGTCGCTGATCCGGTGCAGGCTCTGCCCGCCGAACGACTGCTTCCCTGTCCACTCGTTGCTCTTGGTGAAGTCTATGCCCAGTATCAGGTTCGACGACTCCAGCCCCTGCTCGCGCAGCGCCGCCGCCACCTGCACGCACAATTGATTTAAACACCATGCAGCCAACAGGCAATTATAACAATAACAAGCTGGTTTATCGGTTTGCAACTTGGAAGCAGTGCCATGGAGAGGCATGGAGATGGAGCAACAGCTAGTTCAATGATCGACGGATCTACACCTGATCAAGCGACGTGAAGGTGTCCGGTATGTACGAGTACTTCTTGGACAGCATGGCCCTGCGGTGGCCGCCGGCTGCGGCGGCGTCGTAGGCCGACGGCTGCCGGGTGAGTCCCCGAGGCCGGTGCCTCGTGCCCTGCTGCCCCTGCGCCGTCGGCCTTCCCCCAGACGACCGCCGGTGGAGCAACGCGCCGAGCACGCCGCCCATGCGCCGCAGACGACGATGCAGCTGCTGCCGCCGCTGGCTGACGATGGCAGCCTGCTGACTCGCAGTAACAATATTCGGACGAGCAGACGACGGCACGGCAGAGGGAGATGATAAAGCTGCTGGCTGGAAGGACGATGAATGCGGATTAATTATTGTATCAAGCGAAAGAGATTGTGTGGAAGCTGCGATGAAGCTTCTTGAGCTCTTTCCCCGCTCTGGTTGTAGGGGATCGGAAGGACGGATCGAGAGGAAAGCTAGCAAGCTAGCTCTTTATTCCATTCCATGCTCATCTTTGCTGTCTGTGAGAAAGAAGTGGAAGAGAACCCACGCTCACGCCACCACGCACCGCAGCTTCGCTACGGGCCCTCCCGTGGTTTTGCTGCGATGATACCACTGAACGCTCAAGCTAACTCCAACACAGCACGCTCGCTCACCCAGCCCGGTGCTCCGCGTAGGCAGCAAATTAACCTCCAGTTCACGCAGAACCACTATTCTCTACGGCGCAGTATAGTTAGATCCGGTTCAGACGCATCACCTGCTAATTGTTTTTGCAGACTGTGCGTGCCGCACACAAATGAACCATAGCAACTTGGGCTAAGTAGGGTGTGCTTAGCTATTATTTTTTTTAGTTTGGTCCAATCGGTGAGCTTGTTTGGATCCAAGATGCTACGGAGTAATTGTTACCATAATTTATAGATCCAAAAATGGTCTAGAGAGTAAGACCTTGATCCGACAAAAGTTTCAAACGCCCACTTTGGTGTATACGTTATGGTAAATGGTGTGATGACTCTGTCACGAAATTTCATAGTGATGAGAGGGAATGACTCGAAAAGGTTCCGACAAAAATAAAAGTTGCTTTTTAGCAGAACGCTAGAGAGGAATAGCTCTATGTCCTTCCGAGTTTCCGACCTGCATGGGCAACATTTCTTAGATGATCGAAAACAATGGCAGTGACAACTTGTACAGGGGCTAGCCTCATGTGTCTAATGTAATTATCATAGTTGGTGATGCTAGATATATAGATCCGTGGTTCACTGGCTGTAGACCTAATCTCATCTTTAACTTGATGGTGCGGAATATGTTTGTTCCCTGTAATCTCGAAACATTTTCGTTCCGCTAATCAATTGAAGTTTTTTAAAATAATATCTTTTGTCATTTTATAAAAAAAATTAATCCTAATTACGATGAGTCTCTCTGCCCCCAATTCTCGTTGGCAAATAATTAAGCTGAGACCTGGAAATAGCCTGGCGGCAGCCGTGTAACGTACGTGGCTACGGTGGCACCGACGACGATGCATGTGTCCGTTCGATCAGGATGAAGTGGCAAATGATGAGTCATGTCGTGTGCGATGATGCGTCATCATGCCATGTCAGCTTCTGCATATCGTAACCAACAGGTGTAGGGTTGCTGGGCTGGCTACCGCACTTGTGCCAAGAAACTTCACAGTGGGAGTGATCGGATCGAAACAGCACACACACAGCAATGAAATGGAAGGTCCACAACACGGATTGTATCGGAGGACTTGGACTCGGAGATGAAACTTCCCAGTGATTCATGGCCCGTTCGCTGGGTCGTATTTGACTTATAAACCATGGCTTATTAGTCAACAAATAGTATTTTTCTCTCACACTAAATCAGCCAATAGTATTTTCAATCATAGCTTATAAGCCAAACCAGCCCAAACGTTTGGTGACGATGATGATCTTTCTAAAGAAAAGGCTTTGGCTGTGGCTCTTCCGACGCAGCTTCTCTGTAAAACCATTTTGGTGAATATGGCTTCAGTAGCTATTTTGTTATAGTTTCCGTCAAATTTGTAAGGAAGAGCTAGGACATGCTTTTCACGTCTCTGAATTTTTAGTAGAAAAATGACTCCGGCAACTCCAGGCTTCTTCACCAAAACTATTTTCAACAGTCTTGCCGGCTCTGTACGTGTCAAATGTCCCTTAATTAGCGGTGATTTACAGAACTCATGGTGATTCATAAATCATAACCAATTATTTGTCAGTTACTATTCTACTTGTTTGGGAATTGCCACGATGTAAAGGCCAAAACCCTGTTTAGATCACTTTAGATTACTGCAATTTGAATTATGATTAGAATTATAGTGATTTGGATTATGGTTTATAATAATTTGGTTTGTTCGAGATCTTGGATAATAAGTTTCGGAGTTGGTTGAACTATAATCTCCTATTAGTAGGTTAGGAGATGGATTATAGGGTTATTATAACTCAATGGTTATTCAATGGTTGAATTATTACGATCTATTATAATATCTAGGGTGTTTAAATCACCTAGAGATTTAGTTCTTCGGAGATATTTATAGGGTAAGGTTGTATGTACGTGTGTTTACAGATATGAGTGTGCGCTTGTTTATATGTGTCACAACTCACAACTACATGAATATAATGTCACAACTGCATGAACCAACATGATGTTCGCAAGCAGTCTATTCACTTGTTGTCGCAATTTATGAATTCTATGCCATTCTTCTTAGTGATACCTTTCTCATGCATAGTCATAAAGTAAGAAAGACGCCTCTGCTACCCGCTATATATATATGCTATGGAGTATGCGTTCATACTTTTTAATGAGTATACGTCCTTATACCAATGGACCAAGTATATATAAGTGCATATATGACAATATCCAATTGGGAGTATATCCATATATAATTGTTTTAGTGTTTATCTATAGGGTATATGTACTTCCATCCAGTGATGAAGTCAGAAAAAAATTTAGGAGAGGCTGAACAAAATAATAGAGACTTTTTTATTTTCTCTTAACCTTAGTCCCTCCTACCTAATATATATTTATGCATAAAATTTTAAAGAAGAACTTAGGGGAACTCCACGTGCTCATGATCGGTAGGGCCGCACTAGCCCCACATTAACATGAAGCACTTCCACGGCATTTTGTCAGGAGAAAAATTGTGAATACAACTTTTTATTAGTGCATACATTAACATGAAAAAATAAGTATTTATGTGAATAAAGTATGGGTGCATACTTTAATTAGAAAAATAAGTATATTTGCATACTTTTGTACTTGAAGAGTATATCCATATACTAGCTTTGATAGAGTATTAGTACATACACACTAACATGAAGTACATATATATTTGTGTGAATAAAGTATGGGTACATACTTCAATTAGAAAAATAAGTATATTTGCATACTTTTGTTCTTGAAACAGTATATCCATATACTCAGGAGATTAGCTAGGATTAGGGACAAACAAATCAATCCAATAGAAAGAGCGGGAGATCTCAAAACTTGATTTAATGCACCAGTGAATGAACGCCGCGATCATGATCTTCGATTATAGGCCTGCCAGGCACGCCATGGTCAGCCGCCTACCGAGGCGAGCCAAGCCGCTTGCCGCCACCGTCAGCATGTCTCATGGGCGCGGACACGGCAGTAAGGCAGCAACAAGCGTGCAACCCAGCCGGCGGCCAACCTGCTTTCTACGCAATCCAAAGCCATAGGGTTGGCAGCAGCGTTGCCTCGCCTCCATGTTGCTCGATGTGCCGCATCGCCATTTGGGAGGATGTCGATGGAGAGGACGTGCGATCTCCCAACCTCGCCGCCCTTGCCTTCCCGTCGCGGCCCTTGACGAGCCTCGCCGAAGGTCGGGGATGGGGAGCGACATCGCGCCGCCGCCGGTCGGGGAAGGGGCGGGGCCGCGCGCCGCCGGTCGGTGAAGGAGCGGGGGGGGTTGATGCCGTGCCTGCGGGTTAGGCCGTGCGCCGCCAGGGCCATCGGTGGTGTTGGGAGCCTGCCGCCGCCGCCATCGGAGGGGGGGGGGTGCGGTCGTGAGCACGGCCGGCGCCGACGTCGAAGATGTTGTCGCTTGATATGGAGGCCGCGCGCAGATCTAGGAGGGCCGCCGTTGGAGTGGGTGGCCGCGCGCCGCCGGTCGGGTCGCTGCCGCCAGGCACGCCTCCCGCATGGGCTGGCATCCGTCTCTTCGACGCTGGTAGACGTCGTGAATAAATGTGGGATCTAACAACAATAGCTAAAAAATAGGACCGATTTATTTTCTTAACGGGTCCACTCATGTAATCCGCTAATCAACCCTGACGCCCATCTCGTACGTGGAGAGAAGAGAACCGAGTACTTCGAAATACTGAAAAATATTGAAACGTGACCGTACTGAATTTTGTTCAGTATAACAGCTTGATATAGAATAGCGCGTATATACTTTAAAATACTAAAACGCGACTGTACTGAATTTTGTTCACTATAGCAGCCAGGCTCTCTCCAGTCAGTCTGTGTGCATGCAAGGCATATGTGTGCGGTTGCCTGTTGTAATTCGACCTGGCCAGCTAGAGAACGTGTTTGGTTGCCCAGCTGAGCAAGAGAAACACCAAAGCGCAACAGAAAGGCTGGAGCCGCACCACGCGAGCCTAGCCGTGAGGAAAGAGAGCTTCACCGTGTTTTTGGAGAGCCAGGCCACAGGCGCCCTTTTGCATGTGCCTAGCCTGGCCCCTAGCTGTATCCAGGAAACCAATCGCTTCGTAGCTGCACTAGACGGCCAGGTCAGGCGCCACCTTGGCTACTAATAACGGCCTAGAGCTTCCCACCTTACTCGTCAACTAGCCACAACCATAGACTATTGTACCTTAAACCACAATTTTGTAAAAATGAAATGAATTAGGGGTGATCACGATATTAGTGGAATCTAATTAATATACATGTTGTATATCCCCGACCTCTCCTAATTTGTCTTTCTCACTCATCCCTCGTTCTCATCTCTTCCCTCTCTGGATTTAAAACATATTGAACATGCTTTAGAAACTTTGCACAACAAAATATGAGATGCAACTAGCACGGATATACATTAATGCCGAATGCATTCACGCTACAAATACTAGCTGTGTATTACATTTTTTGTTGTGAAAAGTCTACAAACACGTGTACATATATCAATTAGAATGTTTTAGGAATTTTATAAATTTTTTATATTTATAAAGATAAATCTAGTTTTTTAAGTGTATAGAAATATTTTCATGAACTATAAATACTATTTTTCCATATCTCGATCTATCTCTAGATTTTTTTTTAATAAAATAGAAACTTAGAGATATTTGCTATGGTTTCAAAACTTTGTCAATTATTTATCAATTTTAACTAAATAAAGGACAAACTCACTTTTAAAACCACTCTGAATTCATACAGAGAGGTAATTTGAACGGTTTTAAGAGTTCAAGAGGAAGAATATCTGAATTTTATTTTAGAGTTCGTCAAGAAGGAAAAGAATAGACTTTCGCATCAGACTCGTTCCAGCCGCCCCATGGCCCATGTGCATCTTGCATTCGTGTTTTTTTTAGATCATCTTGCATCGTGATTCGGCCCATGAGACACAAAAACTCGGCCCATCCAAAACCATTTCGATTAGCCATCAATTCGCCCCCCGGCTCACTCGCCCTACCTTCCCCTCCCTCCCGCCCACCGCCGCCGCGCTGCGGCCTGCGGCTCTGCTGATCCCACGCGCGCGCGCTGACGCCGCAGACGACCAAATTTACGAGAGCCACGGCCGGTTCTCCCATGGTTCAGGCCTCCGCCTTGGCGGCGCTGCTGCGCCGCCTCAGGCGCCACCGCACCCCCGCCGCAGCCCGCCTGCTCCCCCACCGCCTCGTCTCCTCCGCTCCTACTCCCGCTCCGGCGCCCGCCTCGTCCTCGCTGGGACCGCTGCCCTTGCCAGGCCTGCTCGAGGGAGACGGCTGTGGCCGCAGCGGCAGCGGCCTCTCCGCTTCACTCGGCTCCCACCCGCGCCCCCGGCTTCCTCGGCGGCACCATGCGGCTGCTACGGCTACCAGGGCGGCGCACCAAGCTGCTTCGAGGTAGAAGAGAGATACCCGCGTAACCGCCTGTCACTAGCTTCTTCTCGTTTCCGGAAATGCTGGTTCTGGCTTGTGACTGTTTAACGAAGCTGCCATTGTCTTGTAGCCCCGAGAGCCCCGCGGTGGCTGCGGCGGCGTCAAGTGAGGCTAGCACTAGCACTGCTGCTTCGCAGTCTGAGATCGTCGATTTTATCAAGTCCGCGTTGGGGAAGCTTGAAGGTAAATATGTGACCTTTATGAACTCATTGGTCGTATTTAGTACTCCCTCAATTATAAATTATAAATTATAAGTCGCTTTGTCTTTTTTGGTACATCCATTTTGCTATGCATCTTGGTATAATAATACGTCTACATACATAGCAAAATGGATGAACCAAAAAAGTCAAAGTGACTTATAATTTGGAATGGAGGGCGTACGTGACAAATTTGTGATTGTAACTGGTGTCATTGTTTGCTGCTATACTCGTCATTGGTTGTTACCAGGCAGACCCAGTTTGCTTCATATACCTTAGCTGAGTATTGGTACTGTTACATTTTTTAGAGTTCAAGGGCAGATTGCCCCGGCCTTCTATTATCATAAAAGACCACAGAAACATTCAGTTTACAGCTCAGAGTTTGTAGAAAAGCCTCCTCACCCAGCACACGCCAGAGCTGGTGAAACCCCATTCAACACGGCGACAAAGAAAGCCTAAAAAGTCTTAAGAACTTGAAGAAAAATACCCCACACTATAGTAACCAGAACTAGTGGAACACTTCACACCGTCTCCATGACCGCGTTAAAGGCACACCACCACGGGCCTTCAGGCAGAGTTTCGCCCACCTCCGTCTTCTCCAGGGAAGTGGCTCCCCATTTCAGATCGTCGACACCCTTCCCACTAGGAAACTTCAGGGGTCTTCTCGAAACGGTAGCCAGAACACCATCTTTGCAGCTGTCTTGATCTTGTTTATAAAGGCCAATAACTGCTCTCTCCTTTCTTGCGGGCATAAGATCATCCAGTTCTGGAGCACTCCACATATCCTGTATAGAAGTATGTCCATACTCCTCCATCCAATGTTCTGAAAGCAAAACTCATTCCTGAGTTTCCAAATACACCAAAGAGTTGCAGAAGTAATGATATTCAAAACAACATTCTTCTTACTACTAAGCCACAGGCTTCCTACATCAGTTAGACTACCTTCCACTTTAATATTAAGTATCCCAGAAATAATGTGCCAGCACTGTTTTGCCACCACACAATCAAAGAACAAATGTTGTACCGATTCCTCTTCTAGACAGAACAAGCAATTCCTATCTTCTACTTTTTCCTTTTGGCCAAATTATCTCCAGTCAAAGTCCTATTAACAACCATAAGAAAAAGTGCACTCTAGGAGGAACTTTAATACTCCATAAGGCTGAGACATGAACAGGTTGGGCTCCTGAAATTATCTTGTATAAAGACTGTGAAGAATAGATGCCTTTTGAAGAGAACTGCCAGATCAATGCATCCTCTTCATCAGAAAAACTTACAGTCGACACTAACTCTACAACTTCCAGCCAAGCTCTATACAAGTCTTCAGATACAGTTCTCCTAAAAGAGCACCTAAGGGTATTTCCATCCCAGAGGTCTGAAATAGTTTTCCCTTTTTCTACAACTATTCTATATAAAGGCCAAAATTGAATGGCCAAGCTTGAGGAACCCAGCCAGTTATCCTCCCAGAGCCTAATCTTCTCACCATTTCCTACCTTCCATCTGTAGCCCATCCATCTTAGCAGCCTGAGCTGCCCACATAAAACCTTTAAAGAAGCTAGAAGAACCATCTGTTTTTGAGAGAAAGATATTAGGTTTATTAGTGTCATATTTGAAGTCTTTGGTACTGTTACATCTCACTGATTGTCTCACTTGGTTATGGATGAGAGTTATGTATCTGGCAATTTTTTCGCATTACAGCAATGCAGACATGGGAGGATTCTTTTCAATGATATTTGCAATGGTTGCAAGAGTCTTGTGTGCCATTTCATCGGTTGCTCGTACCATTGAAGAAACATAAATACCTATGCGGAGTTTAACCTGCCAGAACTACTATATTACAGACATTAAAAAACGTTCCTTAACGTTTTTTTATCGGATACAAACTACAGAGCGTGATAGTTGTGGCTATTCTTAGATGCATAATGAACCGTAATGTACTTATCTTTTTTTTTTCAGGGGTTCATTGCTATATTTTAACATATTACCTTATTTTTGTGGTGTAGGACAAAATCATTGTTGGCTGAATACTGTGAATGGCACTTGGAGGAATTTGAATGAAGAAGGAATATATCTTGTTCTTTTGTATCAATGTTGTGGAACATTAAACAGCAACGACAAATATCCAATTGCTTTCGAGAGATTGAAACATCTGCAACAGAGGTAAAATAGTCAAGGAGTAGATTACATTTGACTGCAATTTTTGAACTTTTCTAATCTCTGCCCGTTTTAGGTATCCACGCCTGAATGTTTTAGCTTTGCAACATGGGGGTGATATTAGTTCTTTAGCATCTCAAAGCCAAGCTTTCCGTACAATAGCGAAGGAATACATTACATTTCCTATCTTGATGTCAGACAAAGACTTCTCCAATGTGAGTCTCAGACCATACCCATTTTCACATATAGTGTCATATGCATTTTTTCATTTACCTTCTTGATCTGTCTCTTGACTCTCCACAGAGGCTTTCAAGATCTGTGTTGCAGTTGTTTTATGCATTTTAGCTATCATATGAAATACTATGTTAAAACAAGAAATGTCGTTTGATGAGTGTTCAGATGACAAATGGTGCTTGCTACTTGCTATCTGAAGGTTCTAAGGACCCTGTCCTATTCACAAACTGGGTTGAGGAGCCTGATGTCATGATTAAGGGTAAAATCTTAACTACATTAGCTATACTCTTGATGCTATAAATGCTATTTTCTTGTCTATTTTTGCTCAACCACTTTATCTACTCTGCAATGTTGCTTAGAAAGTTGGATGCCCTCTGTATTTGCTAATATTTTAAAATCTCTAACCATTCTGAATGCAGCAATAGATGAACTTACTGCGTTGAAAGAAGAACCTTCTGAAAATGTTCTGTCAAGAGTTTCTTGGCAGAAAGAAGAGGTTGTCAAAGAGCCATCTGTTGGCTCCTTCAGAAACCTGTTACTTTACCACCCAGGTACTTAGTTACAGCTATTCTCTCATATAATTTATTAATTAAGCATCAGTTTGCACCCTAAACAGTTATGTTGCACATTGCAGTCAACTATATCTTTGGTTTTGCCATCCAGAAATGATAATCTATAATTCAATGTGCTGCAGCATGCGTATCAGTTGATGAAGATGGGGATCGCATTTTTATCTCTGACAGTAACCATCATAGGATCATCATTAGCAATAGCAATGGGATGATTTTAGATTATGTAAGCATGGCTTGCTGTTACCTTGAGTTCCAATTATTTATATGAGCAGAAGGTTTGTAGCCATGCAGGATGATGAATTGGCATTTTCCCCTTTTGCTTTGCAGATTGGATCTTCCCCAGGCTTTGAGGATGGAGAGTTTGAGTCAGCCAAATTCTTGCACCCAGCTTCATCATTTTATCATGCTGCTGAAGACTGTCTATTTATTGTAGATTCAGAGGTATTATCCTTATTAGTAGATTGCCTTTTCCTATTCTTCCTGACTTCTTGATCACAACATAAATACACCTTTTCACTGGTTAGATGTTTCTTACATGTCATATTAGATCAATAAAAACTGGGAAGCTGTTTGGAAATATACTTGAGTCTCAGTCCAAAGTTAACAAGGTTTAATTATCCTTGATTGTGAAGGTTGAGGACTATTTACAACACTGAAGAATTATCTGATTTATCCCCTTCTGATTCTTTTTGCAGAATCATGCGGTCAGAAAAGCAGATTTGGGAAGAAGGACTTTAGAAACAGTTTATCCAGTCTTCAATAAAAGCAATGGCATCTGGAGCTGGATAACCGATAAGCTTGGTCTCAGGAAAGAAGTTCCTCCAACTATTCAAGATTTTGATGCAGACACCATAGCACTTCCATGGCATTTGATACAAATTTCAGAGGACAACTTATTAATCACAGACCGCAGGTAGGCAACTGTATCTCTTCTCATACCTCCATCTTGACCTTTTTAGATCCAATTTGATTAAATTGCCCTCATTTAAATGCTTCCATTAGCTGTTTGTACAATCTGAAATCTGATGTAATGCATGCATTTTGTCCATCCTTCTATGTTAAACCAAATATTTGGTCTGGGGATGTTTTACATTTCTGATAGTGAGGCTGAATGATAATATTTGTAAATACTTACTGTTCATTATTTTGGTTGCTATGAGGGAGGAAACACATAGTAGTGAAATTTGCTGCATTTACCTTTGGTGTTCAACTGATGTTAATGGTGGTTAATGGCTTACTGATATATTTCTTGTTTTAGTATTGTGTACAGGCACATTATGCCAATAGTGAACTTGACCTTTTTAGATCCAATTTGATTAAATTGCCCTCATTTAAATGCTTCCATTAGCTGTTTGTACAATCTGAAATCTGATGTAATGCATGCATTTTGTCCATCCTTCTATGTTAAACCAAATATTTGGTCTGGGGATGTTTTACATTTCTGATAGTGAGGCTGAATGATAATATTTGTAAATACTTACTGTTCATTATTTTGGTTGCTATGAGGGAGGAAACACATAGTAGTGAAATTTGCTGCATTTACCTTTGGTGTTCAACTGATGTTAATGGTGGTTAATGGCTTAGTGATATATTTCTTGTTTTAGTATTGTGTACAGGCACATTATGCCAATAGTGAACTACTGCTGGTTCCCATTGGGAACAGATTACCTGGCTATTGAATTATTAGTAACTCCTCTTGGTCCTGAAACTTGCTTTTTTGCAGCTTTGAAGCTCCATGGATCCTGAGAATATCAACTGGCGAAAAGCAGGATATTGGGAGAGGTTAGTATTGACTTCTTTTGTTTATCTATTAGACTTATTTTCTTCTTACCTCATTGAGTTAAAGTTGTGTGAAGGCAGAGCTGAAGTAACAGAGTCATATCAGCAAACTGTAAAGGAGAGGTGTGCCCTTATAAAGGATATGCACATGAATTGGTCATCAAGTGCTAGAGTGCTTTCTGATTCAATGGAGAAGATCCCCAACAGTGAGCTTATATCATCGGTTGCAAGGTTTCAGAATTACATTATCTTCTGTGATACAGGTTAATCTATGAGTTGATTGTTATATAGCTCTTTTTTGGAGTCGAATCATATAAAAATTGGATTGTATCGATTCCTTTTTGTTTCTTTGAAGATGGTCAAAGGGTTCTGAAGCACAACTTGGATACCAGGACCACCTTAAACATTGAGTTTTCTAACTGTGAGGTACTTGGGTTGCCATATTGGTTTGTTTGCAATCTCGAGAGAGTATCAACCTGGTGAGCTGCTGATTCCCTGTTAAGCATAGAAATTGACCTGCGGATGAGTGATGATAGAAGCCTGCCCAATGTTTTCAAGTCGTCCAGTCGAACCTAGTCGCCATGGGACCGACCAGGAGACTAATCGTGATTAGTCGTCGACAGGCCGATTAGTCGAGCCTAGTCGACCCCTGGTCGTCCTATATATCAGGACATATATACCTACTATATATATACCTATATATACTATATAGTATACACAATAAAGCAAGCATCAAGACTACATTAGTGTTTAGCTGGTGACTTACTTGTGGGAGTTGTTTTCTTCTCTTTTCTGCCATGTCCAGAGGTCCATATTCCTGTCCCAAACTCCATTTCTTTTGTCGACTTTGTCTTTGGAAGCCTAAAATACCAAAGAAGACCATAATTAGCAACACTAATGTAGTCTTGATCTTGACACAGCTCAACAACAAAGCATTGTTGCATTAGCAAGCACCTTCCGCTGAGTAGCAAATAACTAGCATTTAGCAGCTTAGCACATAGCGTGACCATAGCAGCACCACACAACCAAAGATATTACATAACCAAACAAGTTCAAGACACATAAGCTAAAGTGTTCAACACAGAGTCACAAACATTGACATTTAACAGTCCAACAAAAGTAGGCAACTAGCCATCTAATTAAGCAATTCAACATTAAAATTGAAGCCTCCATCTTCATCTCCAGTTGGTCCATCTCAGTTTTAGTTGGTGCAGATTCTTCATCATCCTCCATTGCTATTCTTTGAATCTACATGCTGATCTTGGTCTTCATCATCAACTTCATCAATATCTTGAGTCACTTTGTGTTCCTTGGACGCTTCTGTTCCTAGCATAAGTACGCCTCACAGGAAAAAGAACAAATAAAGACGAGTAGCAAGCATCCCTAGGCAAGTTACGTCCCTCTAGACCCTCGAGTTGCACCAATAGCCTCATCCACAAACAGCCCAAGTCATAGCATCGCCACCACCTTCCTTGGAATCGTTTCGGTTCACAATTTTCATTGACCCATTCATTTTCCCAATGAAATTCATCAAGCAAGAGTGGATTGCATCTCTTTCCTTTGGAACCCAGCTCTCTAATTTTTTTAAATCTGTTTTCCATCTTGCGGTTGTAACTGACATATACCAACTTATTTAACATTTGGTGCTCTAATCGGTTTCTCTTTTTTGTATGGACCTACACAAAATATAATGCAGAATCATATATCAATATTACTAAGGGCGTACCCAGTGCAGAGAGCTCCCGCTCTGTGCGGGGTCTGGGGAAGGGTGTCAGTGGCCAAGCCTTACCCTCGCCTGTGCAATGCGAGGAGACCGCGACTCGAACCCGGGACCTTCCGGTCACAGGCGGTAAGACTCTACCGCTTGCACCAGGCCTGCCCTTCCACATATCAATATTACTACCATACTTAATTACTCAGCAGTAGTACACTAGCACTTACAGCAGAAAATTCACTCCAACTACGCTCGCATCCAGATGCAGCGCAACAAAGGCTAACAATCCTTTTTGCTAAACATTCTAACCCTAACAAGCCAAACTGCAAGCCCAGTAGCCCACATGTCCCCCAGTTAAACAGGCCCAAAAACAGAGTAACCAAACTGGTCGTCCCTGTCCTAGTCGGACGACTAATCGCGATTTCTCGTCGACTAATCAGACGACCAACTTTCTGGTCGAGCTAATCGAGTCGGACCTCCTAATCGAACACCAGGGACCGATTAGGACGATTAATCGCGATTAATCGGACGACTTGAAAACATTGAGCCTGCCTTCCATTGTTCTGACATTTCCATGCTGTTACCTTGAATTGGCAGGGGACATTCATCTGGACAATTTCAAGAGCATGTACATCAAGTAGACGTGCTTCCTGGTAATTGTCATATTGCCCATTTTCTTCTGATAATATTCTGTTAGTATATGCTATTGCATTTATGTGATGTTTATCTGCAATAGTTGGATCCATAATTCTGCCTATCTGCATGTGATCATACTATCATTTCATCATTGTTCAGCATGCAGGACTAAGGCACACGAAACTTGTTGCCTCAGAGAAAATGATGCTTTTTGTTACAAATTACATATTCTTTCTAAAATTTTTTGTCAACTTTTGTGCCTTGAGTTTTCAAAACTTTTAATTTGACAGTGGAACTTATAGGAGCAATAAGATCTATGTGTATTTGTATGTATACTGCAACTGCATGAACAAAAAACTCTTAAGCGTCAAATGAGAATCGCACTTGAAATAATTTATGCGTGGTCTCAAGAGCAATTGGTGGTGCACTGCATTGTAGCATGCTGTTCAAGTTCAAGTAAGATAGCTTTGTAACTGGACGTGCTCAATTTAACAGGAAGGTGCAACATCACCGTGTACGTAGACATTCCAGTTGACACTGAACTTGCCGCACCTTTGTCAGAGAATTGTATCTGGCGCCAAGTAAGGGGATCCGGTGCTGAGGTCTCTGGATCTGATGGACCAGACACAGCCACAGAGAAGGTGAAAACACGCTCCCTTTTCTTTTCCCAAGTTTGCACTGCGTTTTTTTTCTAATAGTTAACTGCAAACCTATAGTCAGCAAAAGTCTAATCTCGTGCGAATGCACATGCCATCAGGTCGGTATCGCACAGCAGTGGTATGATGAGCTGGACAACTTGGCCTTCTCTGAAGTGGCGGAGGAACCTACTGCTGCCCATGGAGACGACAGCAAACCTGGTGATCAAAGTTACCAGGACCAAAGAAGAGTGCAGTTCACCTGTGCAGTGAACGTTAGTCCTGGGACATGTGAGGTACCGTGAGCTCTTTCCCTCCCAGCTCAAACATTACCTGAAGCACAGACACACACAAAAAACTCTGTTCCTACACACTCCCATCCATAGGACGAAGAGCATTAAGTTATCAGTCAAACACATCATCACACTACCATGCATGAACCACCATTCGCAGCTGGTGGCTTCTGTCGCGTTGTACCTGAAGCTGGCAAGGACAACCGACGCCGTGGACCAGAAGCGGGTGATGGGGTGCCAGGGCCGCCGTGAGGAGCACGCCGGCGTGGAGCTGCTGATGGAGAGCCGTGGGGACGACACGAGGGACCTGGTGGTGGTGAAGCCGGTGCACCTGCGGCTGCGGCTGGAGTGTGGCGACCACCCCGCTGGCACCACCAACAAGGAGACCATCAGCATCGAGTCCAGCCTCAAGATCAATGTCACCTTGGACTAGCTAGTGGTTCTGATTTTTTGATTTTGATCTATCTGATTTTTTTGGGTGGGTGCACGCCACGTTACACGAGCAAACGTGACTAGGCGAGACGTGTTCATTGCCCCGGGCTGGCGATGGGAATCTGGGATGGTGGTTTAGGCCGTTTGTGTGTTTAGCGATTGGAGACTGGTGTGGGATCTGGGATGGGAAGGAACAAGCTGACTGACATATTGCGTAGTTTTGTATCCACACATGAGGGTTTGCCAGTTGAGAGCACTGGAAAACATGGAGAATCCCGGGCACTAGGGTTGAAAATGGATCGGTAAAACCTGTTCCGTTTGTTTTCAGAATTTCAGGATTGGAGTTGCATGGGGTTTATAATCGTGTAGAAATTCAGAATGCACAAAAGTTTCCATTGTGACCGAATTTCAAGAGAGTGATAGACATAAAGAAAAGTTTCTATGAAGTCCAATCTCATGCTAGTTTGCCTACGATGATTTCATACATCCCTAATCCAAAGGAGTTTTATAGGGTCTAATCCTCTGTTGTGGGTCTTATATTAGCTCGTTTTTGTAAAGATAAAGAAACAGGATGGGATGCAGGAAGAGATGTTTTCTGTCCGTTTTAGTATGATAAATCTGTATTCATCCAATATGTACGAAATCCGGAACGAGCTTGAGCAATTGTTATTGTAGCCATCTTTTTAAAACGAACAATCAAGTGTCCACGACAAACATTAGCTTGAGAAGTTAGAGCGTCGTCTTGAGGGGGACCTCAGTAATGCTCGTCACATGATGCTTTAACAAGGCTCCTAACAATAAGGTGTAGTTTGGTACAACTCCCCGTGGAGCTCTATCAAATAGTTAGAATATAAGGAGGTGAGATGATAAGAATCACTTCTCCATTTATGGTAAGCCAAGAGTTAAAAGAAACTCGCTCTCCATAGCTCCCCATTCAATCACCGTTAGAATCACTTTTGACATGCTCCTCAACCAAAGTCAGTCCATCAAGAGTTAGGAAGGAAAGCTTTACTAAACTGGCCCTAAGGTCGGTCTCAGTAAAAGTTTCATATGAGTTTTATGTGCATTAAATAGGCTGCCACGTAGATGTTTTTGTTGACATGTGAAAGGATCAAGATGTCCAAGAGATGGGTGAATTGGACTAATTCTAAAATTCTTTGCAATAATTAAACCTTACACTTAGCCCACTTCACCCCTTGTGCCTAGAATGTGTTCCTATTGATCTACCGCATAAAAGTTTAGCACCATAGGTTCTAATCCTACTCTAGCATAGCAATTCTAAGAATGTAAAGACAAGAATTGAATTGCTCAAATGTAAATACTTAAAGTAAAAAGAGGAGAAGGAACGCGACGATGTTTTGCCGAGGTATCAGAGAGTCGCCACTCCCCACTAGTCCTCGTTGGAGCACCCGAGCAAGGGTGTAGCTCCCCCTTGATCCACGCAAGGATCAAGTGCTCTCTACATGCTGATTCTTTGACACTCCGTCACGGTGAATCGCACATAACCGCTCACAACTTGAGTTGGGTCATCCACAAGCTCCGCCGGATGATCACCAAACTTCCGATCACCACCAAGCTGTCTAGGTGATGGCGATCACCAAGAGTAACAAGCACGAACTCTCACTTGACCACAACAAGCCTAATGAGAAGGGTGGATGCACACTTGCTACTCTCCTTGCACTAATGAGGCCTTAATCTTGGATTCTCAAATCTCAATCACCTCACTAGGCTCTTGCTCTTCTTTGCACTCTCAAGAGTGTTTCTCAGCTGAACAAATGGGCAAGATACCTCCCTTGGATAAATAGAGGAAGTATTTATACCTCCTCATTCAAAACGAACCGTTAGGAGGTTGAGTCAGCATTCTGCGGGGTGACCGGACACTCCGGTCAGTTATCCCCGCTAGAGAGCCATTAAGTTGTGACCGGACTCTGACCTGCGTCCGGTCAGCACTGACCGGACGCGTCCGGTCATGAAACCTGCTCTCTGGAACCTTACTGATGTTGACCGGACGCTGGCACCCAGAGTCCAGTCACTTCGCTGTTCAGCGTCCGGTCAGTAACCGGATCCTGACAAGCGTCCGGTTAGCACTGACCGGACGCGTCCGATCAGAAATTTCCCTCTCTGGAACCTCTCTGGAGTTGACCGAACTCTAGCACCCAGCATCCGGTTACTTTTCACTCAGCGTCCGGTCGCAACCAGACGGCTCCAGTTGATCAAATGTACTGACCGGACTCACCCTTCAGCGTCCAGTCACAACCAGACCAGCGTCCAGTCAGTCATTTGACCCTCCATTCACTTCCAACTCGAAATCATATGTGAATGAAGTTTGTTCCAATTGATCTTAGGGTTACTCCTGAGCTATCAAGTGCTAGATTTGATAAGTGTGCACCACACCTAACCCACTAGACTCACCTAGGTCAAGCTACTAGTCCATACCCCCCTTAATAGTACGACCAAAGGAAAAAACAAAGTCCTAAACTACTCCAAGTGTCTCTTCAACACCAAACAACACTTAGAACTAGTTCATCCTTAACCTTGTCGTCCATCTTTTGAAAACCGAAATGATTTCCATCGTAGGGTCATGACAACCATGATTGCCCAATCAATTGCCATTACCATGACCTAACTTAATTGCCTCTACAAAACACACGTTAATCTTAGTAATCTCGTATTGTCATTAATCACCGAAACCCAACTAAGGGCCTAGATGCTTTCAACCTCCCACTTTTTTGGTGATTGATGACAATACAACCTCGAGTATGTAAAAGAGATGAGGTTTTTAACATGCTTGGTTCATATAAGCTTTTGACAATAAGAGCAAAGGTGTTAGACATGATTATATGACCCAAGCCAACATGGTGTACTCAATAGATATGAAATAAGCATGAGTACAAGAAATAAAGCTCATTTGAATCGGAGTAAAACGCGGAAGCAAAGCAAATGAGCATAATGAAGTGACATGACATATATATAGATCAAAATAGAGAGCACACATGTCACATATCACATAAGTATCACAATCACCCGTATGTAGTTCAATGCATGAAAGTAAACATGAATGCATAGTAATGTGTCACACATAAAAAAACCAAAAGTAATAAACCATAAGCTTCCCCTAGATATAGCGCTCCCCCTAGATCTAACATACTCGATCCCTCTCCCCCTTTGGCATCAAGCACCAAAACCTAAGGGTTGGTCAGCGGGGCAGGAACAGATGAGTCGGGCGCTGAGGTGCGGTGAGTGATCTAAAACTGTGTAGCATCATCCTCTAATCCGGAGCTCTGAGCTATCTGACCCTCTATCGCTGGAAGTGAAGCTGAAGCGGTCTGGGTCTGCTCTTGGACTAGTGCGGCATATGACTCTGCAGGTATCACTAAAGCAGGTGGCTCTGATGATGCAATAGATGATGAGAGCGTCTCTATAGTCCCAGTGACTAGAGCAACGGTGGTAGGTATAGGTACTCACAACTTTGGTGGTGTAGGCTGCCCTATAAGCTCGTTGAAAGTGGCACCGAGGCTCCTGGAAACTGGGGTGTCAGTCACAAGCACCGAGGAGCTCTGAGCCGGAGTGAAGCCCATAACGATAGGTGTGAAGTGTGGACCCTGGGCTGTCACTGGTGAAGCAAACCACTGGGTCACCTGCTCTGTCGGTGAAGCAAACTATGTAGCTGGCTGTCCCTGACTCTAAAGCCCACTAGGCTATATAGTTGGAGTCACTGAAGTGGTGGTAGGCTGGCCGAGCTGAGGTGTAGATGGTGGCAGAGCAACCCCAATAGCAGTGACAACATGCTGCATAAATCCAAGTAATCGCCTTTGCATCGAGGAGGCTGCTTCTTTGCTTCTGATCCGCTGGCTTCATGGCTATCTCTAGAACTCGCTCGTCATGTCGCTCGAACTCTGTGCAAGTGCAGCTACGGTCTCCTAGGCCTGGCGTGCCTGATCCTGCCTCATCCGCTCAAGAATAGCAAGAAGTGCGGGGTCTGTCTGTGGTGGCTGGGATGGAGCTGAACTGGAGCCACCAACCTCACTATCATGTCGTCGAGGAGGCATCTGAGGAATAGCCTGATAATCATCATCGGAACTATCACTAGGGTCGCTCTCGACCATACCCTCCTACTGAGCATCTTGCTGCTCCTCCTCTATCGCTGCAACGCCCCTGATGATCTCATCCTGCTGGGCTGCAGTCTCTGGCACCTCTAGGCGATAGCGCGGCTGGCTAGGTGTCCTTGCACTACTGTGACAGAGCATATCGGTCATGTTGTATGGAGGAAACTCAGTAGTAGCACCAGTATACTCTGCCATAGTCTCTGGGGACTTCACTGTAACTATCTTGCGAATCAAGAATGTGATCCAGTGAGCATAAGGCAGCTAACGATGGCCTCTAAACCCCTTTGCAAGAGTGTCCTCCATCTCTGATAGAATAACATCCCAAATATAAAAAACTATCTGCTGGATCAGAGAGTTCACTAGCCATAATTGGATGCGAGTCAATCCCTCGCGATAACCCATCCTCGGGAGCAAAGTCCTCCTCATGATAGCATCAAGCAGCCTAGCTGTAGGAGTAAGATCTCTAGGTGTCCTGCTCGACCCGTCGCCAAAAGGCTCTGTGAAGCAAGATCGGACCAGATCTGTAGGAGGCACAAGACCACCGTGAGGGCGTCTGGGAGGCTCTGTCTAACCATAGCAAACCTCGTGAAGGTGGATGGGTGACTCTAGAATCCTGAGAATCTCTCTGACCCTCGAGCTCTACAGCCTATAGTCATGGCCTCTGAATGCAAAATGTATGAACCTGTGCCCTGGGTCAATCCAAAGTGAAGAGTAGAACTCACGGACCCATGATGGAACATATCGGCCAGTCCATCCAAGTAGATCAATCAACCCAGGCAAGTATGAGAGGTGAGGGCGGATCTGCTCTCCTGCTGCTGCTACAAGTGCCTCAATAGAGCAAACTCTCTAAGATCTGAATGCCACTGCACTGTTCAGATATGCCTGATAGAAATCC